TATTTCCAATGCATAGAAAAATGTTTATCGGATCATAAGCACGCGGTATTTAATGAGTGAATGCATGCATGAAGTAACTAACAAACAAATTAATGAATCGATACACAAATAGAGACAGCCTAATTCCAAAGCGCACACCATTAGCCATTAGTCTATTTACCACTTATCCCCTCCAGTTCTCTTATTCTGAAACTTTGTTCTTTTCTATATACAAAAGACTAGAGAAAGAATGTCCCAAGTGTTTGGAGGAATGCCCTACTTCCTGTGAGAAAGAGCTAGTCTCCCCCAGAGGATGCTTCCCCTTGGGAAGAACGACCTGAGAACAGCTGCTCTAATTTAGGATTGAACAAATCAACACACGCCAGAACACCTGGATAGTACTCCTTTTCAGAAAGTCCATCATTTCAGATTTATGAAAGATCTCTACAATACAGCCAAATGATTTCAAGGAGTTGCCTATGTGAGGAAAAAAGTGAACAAATTATCAAATATATTTCTCCTTTTCTTCCCCAAAATACACATTCACTGTTACTAATACTTGACAGTTCTTAATGTTAAAGAGAAAAAGAAACTTTTCTCAAATCAGACATTATTTTAAAATAGACTAAAAAGCTACCTCTGGGGTGGCGCCTGTGGCTCAGTAAGTAGGGCGGTGGCCCTATATACCGAGGGTGGAAGGTTCAAACCTGGCCCCAGCCAAATCGCACCAAAAAAATAGCCGGGTGTTGTGGCAGGCGCCTGTAGTCCCAGCTACTCAGGAGGCCAAGGCAAGAAAATTGCCTAAGGCCAGGAGTTGGAGGTTGCTATGAGCCATGTGACGCCATGGCACTCTACCAAGGGTGATAAAGTGAAACTCTGTCTCTAAAAAAATAAATAAATAAAATAAAAAGCTACCTCTGGCTAATCCCAACTTCGACTATGGTAACTGTCCAAATGGCCACTAACGTTTCCCCTCTCTGTATCCACAGTCTTGCTAGGTAACACTGTAGATCCTTCCATCAAGAGATGGCATCTATTTCTCCACCCCTCAAATCTAACCAAGCAACTGGCTTTGACCAATGTGCTCTAAAGGCACTTGAGCGCTAGGCTTGCTCTTTTGCTGCTGGAACCCTGCAACCAACACCATGTAAAAAAGTCCAACCTAGCCCGCTAGATGATGAGGAGCACTTGACCTGCTGACTTCATTGCCAAGAAACAGACAAGTGAGTGGGGCCATCCTGGATCACCTGCTGCTAACCAATCAACCAACTGACTATGCACATGAGCACACACAGTGGGGATAAACTACACTGGACCAGACCACAAAAACCACCCTCCTGACCAAGAGAACCAGGAAGTAAATAAATGGTTGTTGTTTTAAGCCACAAAGAATTGGGGTAGTTTGCTAAATAGCAAAAGTTAATTGATAAGAGCTACCAAAATCCAAATCAATTTTAAAAAACTGATACTGCCTATATAATTTCAGTTATATTCTCTACCGTTATATATTTATCTTGAATTATAATTAATTCTCAAACAAAATATGATATTAAACACTAATGTTTTCAGGAATGGAGAGGTTTTGATTTGGCGGGTTTCATCAACTTTAAAAGCTATTGAAGTAGGACACAAATACAACAGGGACTTCAGCTAACATATGCAAATGTCATAACCTAATTGTTTATACCCTCATATTAATCTGAAATTAAAATAAATGAATAAATAGTAGAAACTATTAACATTTTAGGCCGTGATTCACTTCACAAATGACAGGGTAATAAGGAAAAGTTCAAAGAAAAAAAGCTCATTAAATAACAGTCTCACTGAATCAAAACCACAATAAATGACCACAATAAATAAATAATGGTATTATTTATTTTGTTTTAAAATGACCATCTTCATGTCAAATCATGTTGGGTTTAGATTTTTTTACCACGATTCTGTGTCTTGACAGTAACTGTGCTAACTACTAAATTCATCTTATTACGACATCTGCAACTATTTATTAGTTATAGTGACGTCCTTTAGCAGCTGGTAACTCAAGTGCGAATAGACTAATCAGGTTTAGAGAATTGAGTAAATCATAAAAAAATTCGGGCTATAAACTACCCAGTTAGTAAGTTCTATTGTTCTATTGCACTATAGGGTAATTACGATTGACAATTAACTAAATATTTTCAAACTTCTAAAAGAACAGATTTTGAATGTTTCCAGCACACACACAAAAATGATAAATGTCTGAGATGCTGGATCAACTACTATCATGACTTGATCAATACATATTGTATACATGTATTGAAACAGCACACTGTACCCTGTAAGTATGTGCAATTCTTAGCTGTCAATTAAAAATAAAAACATGGCCAGGTGCAGTGGCTCACATCTTAGCACTCTGGTAGGATGATATGGAAGGATCCTTTGAGCTCAGGAGTTGGAGATCAGCCCGAGCAAGAATGAGACCCCATTTCTACTAAAATTAGAAAAATCACCCGGTGTCACGGCACACACTAGTCCCAGCTACTTGGAGGCTGAAGCAGGAGGACTGCTTGAACCCAGGAGTGTGAGTTTGCTGTGAGCTATCTCAAACAAATACATAGAAATAATTTATCCAGTTCATTAGTTAATAAGAGAATGAGAAGGAATCATAGGAATTATGGCCGTACAATGTTGGATTCATATAATGAAATGTGAAGCTAAAGTCAGACTGTGTGAATTTAAATCTTAGCTCCACCACTTAATAATAATAAGCAAGGTTCTTAACTTTTCGATCTGGAAAAAGCATAATAGCACTTGCCCTTATACAGTCCTATAGGACTGAATCCATGTAAAGTGCATAGCACCAGGGCCTGGCCAGATAGTTGAGTGGATGGATGGAGAGAGCACAAGCACTCTACAGCCGTCACTATTAGTATTCTTGCTATCATAATCATCAAGTCATTTCTTAAGTACTTACTGGAAAGGTATGTAACTTTCCATTAGGAAAAACCACCTCAGTTGCTTCAACTCTGAAAAACAAAAAGCCAGAAATAAAAAATGTAAGAAAAAAAAAAACGCACCATAAATTCTAGACATGTGTATGTTTAACAAACTTTTCATTTGGTCTACAACTACAGCTTCAGCACATTCAATCTACCACATTCCAACGCTGTTTGGATTAATCTTCCTACATATAATATTACTCTACCATTTCATCCCCTAAGGTTCCCATGTTCCTTTGGGCAGTGCTCACTTAAAACATTTCCTTCCCAGGACTGCAAAGCATGCATCCTCTATGAACTTCTTGCCAATACTGATACACACACTCCAGGCAGGCAGTGTGTTACACAACAAAAGCTAACTGATACAACTACTAAAATGCAAATCCATTTTAAAAAACAGTACTATCCATATAATTTCAGCCATACTCTCTACAGTTATATATTTATTTTGAGCTATAATTAATATTCTAGAATAAACTATGATTCTAGTATACTTAAAGTAAGAGCCATATAGATTTGTTAAATAATTTTTTTAATTAAAAATGTGCTTTAGGGCAAGGTACCATAGCTCATGCCTGGAATCCCAGCACTCTGGAAAGATGAAGTGGGAGGATCACTTGAGGCTAGGAATTTAAGATTGGCCTGGGCAACACAGTGAGACCCCCATCTTTACAGAATATTAAAAAAGATTAGCCAGGCATGTAGTCCCAGCTACTTGGGAGGCTAAGGCAGGGGGATCACTTATGCATAGCACTTAAGCTTCAGTGACTATGATTGTGCCACTGCACTCTGGCCTGAGTAACAAAACTGAAACCCTGTCTATCAAAAAAAAAAAAAAAAAGGCTTTGGGAAAACTACAGTAATCTTACTGAGACCGTATATATGGAATACATACTTTGCTTTTCCATATGTGCATCTCTAACCTCTGCTTAGCTGCTCTTTTTGCTGTTCTTCCATCTTTACATTCCGCAATCCAATGATCCCAAAATACAGTTTAAATTTCATTGCCTCCATGAGGCTTTCCGAGATTGCTTCAGCTGGCAGCAACCTGCCCTTACAACCAGAAAATTACCA